TGTTACGTATATACATATTTTAAAGAAAAAAAAACTGTTCAATCCTGAAACCTTTTCGAAAAATGTTTCACATTGATCTCAGCACGATACTTTTTTCCTATAAGCATTAAATGAATAATTGTTAATTTATTAATTTCTAATGCGTCATTTTGAATGAGGAAGAAAATAAAGGTGAATACATTGAAAATTAGCAATATGAAACCTGTGTAATGTTTCATTTACATGAGAAGAATGTTAGTTTTGACAGTGTAAATGAAACTGTGACTAGCAATGGAATCCAGGACTCTCGTTTCGTCTCAGCAGCTAAATGGGTAACATGATGGCGTTTAAAGCAATCGGTACTGCATTCGAATCTCAGAGTGAACAACAACTCTGATATGCAGGAATATCCAATTGATCAGTACCAAATAGGACAAAACGCTCCTCCTGAATTCTACTACTAACCACTATTCATCTTTGCTTATATTGCTTATGAATTAAAGCAATATCGTGGGAATCCTCACAAAATGTACATATGCTAATAAGAGACTGATCAATTGCATCAATGGGAAGATTGAAGTAAACAATACCAAGGGGATTTAAACTGTTCAATGTACAATTTTATACATAATTCACTAAATAAAATTTTAACAAAAGACTAAATTATATCTTATTATTCATATATAGATTATGTGAATGTTTTGAAAATGGTTCAGCTCTTTTCTTCTATAAAATGAAAGTTAGAGAGAGTAATTATTTCCATGGAGAGGAATCATAAATTTGTGTAATATAAGGATAATTGCCATTATTAATAGACTGATATTTTCCATCTGATACTTGATATATCAAATGACTTTCAGACACAACACTAGATTTAGCTTACTAGACATTTATGTTTAAATAATTCTCTAATAAAAATGGAATTATTATTCCCTGAAGTATACTTTGGAGAGTGAATTAGTAAGTAGCTAACATTCACTTGATGAAGTTAAGTTATAATGGATGAGAAGAAGTTTACCTCACCTTTATGATAGATACAAAAGAAAACTACATATAGGGATGGCGATTGGCTTTTATTTTGAGTGGAGTCTGATGATGTTTCAAGCTATTGAGTTGTATCAACTCGTAAACGTCAACTAAGAAGTTCCGATGAACTGACAGATGTTACTTCTAGAAAGATTTCTTTCAAACCACTACGCCATACTAAAAACTGACGACTACTACCCTTCAATCTCATGACTGGCAAATGGCAAACTAGGTGAAATTTCCTGAGACGAAATTCATATCACACATCCTAGACACGAAAACTGGTTCCTCAAGTTAGTAACACTAACGAACACACATTCCCTAACCTCTATACTACAGGCATGATGACCATCAAATATTATCATTAATTTTAAAGGCAATTATGATCGAATATTGAAAGTCGCCGAATATTTTCAACTAGGAGATGCCAGGTTTTACAAGAATAGAGCAAATTTTTGCTCCAACCGATGCATCATAAACCCGTTTTTTGCAGTCAAACTAACACAACGACGACGTCGAAAATGACCCAGATTATAATAAGCCGCTCTGGTTTTCACTATGCATAGATTAATCATGTCATTCAAACCACTACTAGCACTTAAATAACTATCCAAATACACGAACCTTTCGGCTGATCGTCATAAAGAGTAAGTGCCAGAACACGGTACAGTCTTGTATAAGTACTTAACATTTGAAGGGTATAAAGTGTGTTCTTTGCATACGGACACTTATTAATAACTGATTAAATGCGAATATGACAAATTGTGCATCACCGTATAGTAAAAAATGTTATACATGTACTCGAAACTGGGAGGAATTTCTCCAGTAAATTGATACACTCCAACAAAACGCACTTTCTTTATAGTCATCTCTTCAACGTCATGAAGAGCGGGTTGAAGAAAAATGATGAAATTTGGCAACCTTTCTTAACCTCACTGCTAGAATGCAACAACGAAGTGAAGTGGGTGTATGACTTGAGTCTACCTGAGATTTAAATATATAGAATCTTGAACATGTTAACAAATTTATTTCATACATCTCTCTTCAACAGACAATCCCGAATCACAATCCTGTTCAGTAAATCTAAGGCTACTATGATATCAAAAGCATAAAGATTGTTGCTATGAAAAAATATGGAGTTTCCCTAACAATTACATGAAGGTGAAGATGTAGTCAATAAATCAATGACCTGGTTGAAAACTAGCCTGTTTCTTATGAATTCGTTTTTCATGAATTTTGAACGAAATCCCCAAAAAATACGAGGCATGAAAATGAATAAGAAATAGACTAAAAATGAACATGTGTAATCGCAAGTTTTTTTCAAAATGTTGAACAGTACTCAAAAATCTTTTATCGTATGAGAAAAGAATATTTTAAGGATTTTCCAAAATTTTAAATATAACATAGAATGAAATAGAATTTATTTAAATTCATTGTGTTAAAGGATAGTAGTTAGAATGAATACCTTTTGAATCTCAATGAACAGTAATGTTATATCTCTTTATTGTAACATTTCTTACTTCTAGGATTTTGGAGGTGAACCTAAAAAAATTCACCTTGATAATTCAATACCTCGTGATAATGTAGTGAACAGGAACACGAGAAGGGGGACAATAGAAAGTATTTAGGCTTAAATTACAGACTATCTCACTAAAATCTGATAACCATACAGGAAATAATCAATTTGCAAACTATGAATTAATTATCTTAATCTTAACTGTTCCTTCTGCAAATATCAATCCATCTTCTTTGATTTCATTGTTCATGCATTTTTATACCGATTGCGCTTCATTCCTGTTTTTTGCTTATCGATTTCCTGCCAAAACACATTCTACGCCTGACCATCACCATATACTACTTATAATGATATAAGTAACCCACACTACAATAATACTAGATATTTAAGTTATCATTAAAAGTGGATATCAACTATAAGTAATGGATTGTTTGCCAAAAAAATCAATCCTTCATATATTATCCATCTATTAGTTCTTACAGCATAATGTTAAAATGTATAAGTTTCATTGAATTATAGTTTCGGAATAACTAAAGTTGAATAAAGATTATACTAAATAAACAAATTGATCGAAGATGAGTTGAAAACTTACTGTTATATCCCGTGAAGAATTATGATTAGTAACTCTGAGGACTATTTATGGATCAATGTGATATGTACATTTCCTATTATATAATTGTTAAGTAACTAAAGTATTCATATTTATATCCCTCTTATTATAAGCTTTATTTTCACCTATAGACTATTATGCGATTTACCATTCTTGAGTTATCCCTAGTCTATTAATAACTGTTCCACCAATTCACAGCCGCATTTGGCAAATCTTGTACAAATGTTATTTTCTATTTTATGGTACGGTGTGGTCAGTTTGTTTAGTATATAAACCCAGTATGTTTGAGAATAATTATTCATATTACAGAGGCTGTCATTGGTATTGTAGACGTATTTGGCTGGGCTAGGCAGATAGCCGGACTGATAGGTACTCAAGACTGCTCATACGGTTTTCGGGTATTATTGATCCGATCGATAAATTCTTTTCCTCCCTCATTGGCGAGAAACAGCACGTTCACATATCAAACAAGGCACGCACGCACTCACAAGTTATAACACTTACTTACGTTTGACATCAGTAACAAAAATCCTAATACCTATAAGGAGAAAGGCGTTCCTTACAATTTTATAATGAATCTACATTAGGTATAATATGTACAATTATAAAATGGAATAACTAGATTCAACGTTTTTTGTATTCGTTATTCTACCTTGGATTGGTTCTTGAACAGATTGTTTGAAAAGAGTGTAATGAAATTAATATATAGCAGCTCACATACAATTGACTTTGTTTACATCTAATTTGGCTAAACCCTTTTGTTAACTTATATAACGGACAGTCATTCGTACAACAACCTATCTATACTATTGCACCTTTATTATGTACGCTTGAGCATTGCTTACTGCCTACGCATGTATTCATTCTGCTAGCCTTACTATTAATCACTTAATGAATTCGATGATTCATGCTTTTCCATTTGTATATATGTATCTTAATCCTGCTCACTGTACTGTACTCGCTTACTCGATCGATTAATCTCTCGCTCTTTCGACACTTACGCTCATTCACTTGCTTTACGGCACTACTCTTTCATGATTGCTTAACGTGCCTGTAATTTTTGGATATTTGTGTGTGGTCCAATAATAAAAGCAATCAACCCTTTGTATTCGCCTCTGATTTATGCACCGTTGGAGCGTTATCGAGTAACGGTTATCAGGACGAATAATATACGAAGTTTAGGGATAACATCAAAAATATAGATCACCACAAATCAACTTTGAAATGATCATTACCATATATAACTTTATAGGGTATTTTGATATAGAAATAATCAAATAGTTAAATCAAAAAAACAAAATTTATTTCACAAAAATAATAATAATAATACTTATTATTATTATTAAATAAGTAGTATAGTTTTACAATTAATGCTAATAATTCCTTAAAGAAAGTTATATACAATATAACTATTTACATAATGTTAATTTAATCTACAAATTTTATACTTGTAAGAAAGCATTAAAGAATAAATAGTCATTAGGTGTTTATTTTCCGCCTATAAAAATGAGGTATTTGTTTAAATAGTTCAATTTGATTGATTGGAAATATGATTTAAACAAATGAATTGATTTTGTTGTTGAATTCATGTATCAATTAAAGCTAGTTCACTATAAAAAACCTGGAAGTACTGGATGGACATTTTATCCTATTATTGGATTCCTCAATAGTGCTCATCCACGATCATCCTGGTAGGACTCGGCTCTAGGACCTATCGATCTAGTGTGCGAATGTTTAACCTCTAGTCCTGGGTTCAAATCCCGCGTATGGGGTCGTGACTGTGTATTGTTGAAGAGACTTATGCTAGTACAAAACATCCACTCATGAATTCAACTATTAAATTTACTAAGATCTCCAAGAAACCGTCTTCGGAAAATAAATTCTTATTAATTTAAATTAACATTAAATAAATAGTTAATTATGGGTTGTTTTTTTCTTGAAATTTGTTAAAAAGAACAAGAAAATATCCTAATTCTTATAGATAGTTACTTACACAATTTTATTATTTATCCAAAGATCACTTTGTTCAATGTTTCAATGGTTTAATCAAGCAGGCCTTATTTGCAATATTGAAAATTGAATATTATTTATATGTCTTCAAAAAAAAAAAATGAAAAGAAGAAAAATCTACCGTTTAAAATGGATTTGTTAAGATATACAAAAGATAGAAATTAGAAATGATTCCAATTAATTGTCAGTATATGAATTAGTATTATTATTAGTAGTATTATTAGTATTTTCATTGATACTTCCATGACCATATGTCCAATATCCATCAGTATTAGATTTACGACCTACAATAGGTGCAACTTTTGGACAATTCCAATAAGCATTATACAAATTTTTAGATTGTTTAAATCTAGAATTTAATGAAATTTCTTTATTATCTGATATTTTTTGAACTTTATTATATAAATCTGTGATATCGGATGATATATTATCATTTTCATTAGGTGAATCTTCTTGAGATATGCTTAAAACATGTTTTGATTGTGTATCGTATTGCTTAAGCATTACTTCTCTATATTTTTCTATTTTACAATTGTCTTTTAAGTTGTTAATTCTATCCATTATTTCATTGTCATTATCCCTATGATCATCGTTCTCATCTTCATCGTCACTGTCTTTATCAACCTTATCACTAGTGTGATAAGAATGATCACAACCTTTATGCTGTTTAATTGGTATTTTATCTGTACAGTATTTTAATGAATCACATGGATATGTATGAAATTGATCAGATTTCATTGTACATTTATTTATTTCATCACTAGTGATATCATCATAGTTATTGCTTCCAGATGGAATATTGCCTTCTTCTTCTTCCTCCCCATCATCATCTTCTTCATCATCATCATCATCATCATCCTCATCATCTTCATCAGCGTCTTCTTCGCCATTCTCATTGTCCTCTTCCTCTTCATCATCAACCTCTTCCACATCGTCACCATCATCATTATCACCATCGTTATGAATAACTGTAGTATAATCCATCTGGTTCGCTTGGAAAGAATCTAAATTATAACAATAACTATGATCATTGGATTGATTTTGAATAATTTTTACATTTTCATCATATGATAACGGTTGATCTAATAATAATTCATTAAAATGTTGATGAATTGGAATGTTTGCCTGTGATTTACATCTATATTCTAATTTAGAATTTTCTAAACATGGAGGAGAAGTAGAGGAATGATGATGGTGATTGTGATAGTTATTCTGAAGACGATGATCATGATGATATTGTTGATGAGGTAGTGATGTTGAAGAGGATTGATCTGATAACAAATAGGTTTTTTCATTTTTCTCAGAATATTTTTGATGATAAATTGGCATTGATTGTTGTTTATAATTTTGTTTTTTAGCACTTGATAAATTAAGTGTATCAGATTGTGTTTGTTTTAATGATTTCAATTTAGATGATAATGAATTAATTTGATTTTCAATATCCATAATTGTTATATCACGTAATATTATATCACCATTATCAAAATATTGTTGATCGGATAAACGTAATTGTGGGGATTGATTCATTACAGTTAGTATATCAGTTGAATGGATAATATTAGTTTTATGTATTGGTGTCATTTCTTGAAAATTGCTTTGACGTTTTAATTTATTCAATGAACTATGTTTCATTGTTTTGCTATGTGACTTCTTACGTGAATAACTCTCTGATTTAAGATCATCAGAATGAGATAATAATGGAATTGTAGTAACCATAGCATTATTCATTTTATTATTCAACCAAGAATTTGTATTATCCAATGGTTTCTGTTGAATCGGTTCATTATTAGGACAAAATGATGATGATGATGATGATGATGATGATGATAATGATTTCATAGATTTAAATGAATTCCGATGATTATTTTTGGTCATAGTTATATTAGTAGTTGAAGTAGTATTTATCATATTAGGTTGTTTTAATATTGAAGGACTAGATTTGTTTAGAATTTGTAATGACTTTATACTACTTCTAATATTATTATTATTTAATGGTGAATCAGAAGATAATGCAATATGATTCAATTTATTTACTGATTGTTCAATAGGCTTTGGTTTAAAATATCTATAAACAGGAGTTAAACTTAATGAAGATGATTGATTGGATGGATCATATTCTATAATATCACCAGAAGCAAAATCGAATGATGCATAACAAGGTACAACTAGATAAAAAAAAATAAAAAAAATAAGTAGTAGAATAATTATTATCTAAATATGCAATATAGAGATGAGCTGATTGGAATAATAAAAAAACTATTTTTTGAGTATTGTAAGCAAAGATGGATAGTGATTAGCAATGGAATCCAGGATGTACGTTTCGTCCTATTTCGGACTCTTCGGCTGGATGTACCTGCATCTCACAGTTGGTGTTTACTCTGAGACTCGAATGCAGTACTTTTCGCTTCAAACGAAATCGCGTTATCCACTCAGCTACTGAGTTATGATAGCCACTTTCTTGTGCAATGTGGTGAAGTGTTTAAATTCACCTAGTTCTGTTTGTTTGAATCTTCCCATCGATGTGTTAGGACTGCAACTGATCAGTCTCTAATTGGCATATGCGTATACTGTGCGTATTGCCTCGACATTACCTTAATTACCTACAATGCTTGTGAATTAAGGCTATATCGAGGGAATGCGCACAGTATACACATGCCAATTAGAGACTGACCAGTTGCAGTCCTAACACATCGATGGGAAGATTCAAACAAACAATACCATGTGAATTTTATTTTTTTGAGTAATTTTTCTTCTTGAATTCGACAATTATCTTTCATTACATAAATTATGAAAATTGAAAAAATACCATTGTGCTTAGAATGTTAAACATTTTGGCGAAAGAAGTCATTCTTTAGTCATCGAATAATAAGGATGAAAATGCTTAATAAAGTAACTGCTCACTTAGGTATATATATATATATAATTATTTAATTTAATTATTTCTTACATCATGGCTTATACATATTTTGTCTGCCCTTAAACCGTGAGATTAAAATTTCTTTATATATTACTTTCTACTAAGTAATTCTTCCTGTAGTATATCGTTATACTTAATCTTTCTTTTATATATTACTACCAATGAAGTAGCTACTATGAATTTGGTGTTCATCTCGTTGAGTTAATGAAGCGTGACAATTTGGACCGATGCATATATGTGCCTGGTCATACACTACAGCTGACTTACTGTTATTGCACAATTCAAGCTACGTCTTTTGGTCAATGTCAAGATGAGAGCTCAATATCATAGAAGAGAAAATTCTTGAAAATATTTTTATCACAAAATGGGTAGGAATTGAGATTTATTACAAAAAATTATGTGGCTCACATTATAGAATGAGAAATCGATCCCTATTTCGAAGATTTTCCGCATGAGATTTGACTACAAAGGTGATATATTTACAAGCAAATTTAACAGAAAGTTCTCAAACATCTTTTCATCAATTTAGGTGACTTCATATAGATAATAACGGGTTGTATTTAGTTTTGAACAAGTTTACTTCATATTCACATTCACTGTCTTAGAACTTGAAACGTTTTTAAAAACCACTTACTAGCAACGACGGTTTTAAGTTGACATATTCCTCTTGACATGTATGACCTAAAAAGTATTGAGTGTTGATTGCAGCAGACTTATTAAGCTGAATTCAGTCAATAATTTTTGAGAAAAGTTAGTGATTCTCCGTAACAAGATATAGGAGTAGAAAAATGGTTTATGTGATCAACATTCTAGTGGAATTACTCTGTGCGGAAAATATCAACTCTCTAAACATCCTACCTAAATAAACTATATAAATTCGTGAACATAATTTAAACAAATGGTCAGCAAATGAAACACTGCTAAACACTTTATTATCATTCACAAGTTAAAGACATTTAGTAAATATCCCCTAAAAAGTGTGTTATTTAATTTTTAATCTAATGCTTAGTATTTAACATAAGATATATTGAGAAGATTAACACCGATATTTCTGATTTTTGAGCTAACACATGAAATCATTTTTCTAACCACAATGTCTAATCTTGCGAGTCATGTTGTCAGCTGGTTAGCCATAAGCACCGAAGAAACTGAAGCATATATATATATCAGTTGTCACAGCACACCATACAGTGTGGAGAGATGAAATTATCAAGAAAAATGTCATTGTAGCTGAAGTAGTAACCTCATAAATAGTAGTAGAAAATTAAAGGGATAGAAAATATGACTTGAGTAGAATGAGTGATGTCACCTCAAAATAAAGAATAGATGCATCCTAGCCATACGGTACAACTTCTCCAATCACTTGGTGAGATGGCCTTGAGGACCATAACCTAGTGATATAAATCTGCTTGCATAGCTCAGTCCAACACTGAGAAACTTTATGAACAGAGATTAGGTCTCGATTTGACTTCCTATATCTTTCTTTCAACTTATTTCCAAGTCAATAAATATCTTGTATCAAGGAAAATGATTGTTAGGTAAACGCAGTCAAATGGAAACTCATTAATTTTCAACAGATTCACTACATTTACTAAATGTTAAGTATTTCCAAAATAGTAGAAATACGTCAAATGCATGAAAGGTTTTGTGAATTGAATAAGAACATTAAAATCAGAACTATACAATACACTCTAAGATAAATAAATGGAAATCATAAAAATGAAAAAAAACCAATCAAGGTAACATTTACTTAAATCTATCAGTCATAAATGAATAGATATTTTTTTCTCAGTTTTAGAAAGAATGAATAAACAGAGAAAAGACTGACAATGACCAACGACAAATTCAATACTGATTGTGTTATTTCTTTTAGATTCTAATTTTTAACATGAATTGTGGATGAGAGACATAGAAAGAGTGAGAGAGAGAAAGACAGAAAGAAGTGGAAGAGGCGGTGGGAGATACATGGAAAAGAAATAAAAGTAACCAACATTATCAAACACGAATCTAACGTGAATAAATTCAATTAGTATTGTTTGCTTGAATCTTCCCATTGATGTTTAGGACTGCAACTGGTCAGTCTCTAATTGGCATATGTGCATACTGTGCGTATTGCCTCAATATAGCGTTAAATCACAATCATTCTAAGCAAAGATGAATAGTGGCTAGCAGGGGAATCCAGTTTGACGCGCATTTCGTCCTATTTGGGTCCTATCAGGACTCAGTAGCTGAGTGGATAACGCGATGACGTTTGAGCGAGAGGTAATGGGTTGGAGTCCCAGAGTGAACATCAACTCTGAGATGCAGGTACATCCAGCTGACCAGTCCCAAATAGAACGAAACGCGCATCCTGGATTCCACTGCTATCCACTATCCATTTTTGCTTATAACGTGAATAAAGTTTACTAAAACCGTTCTCATCATTACGCATATATGCATACGTATAACAGTATTCACATAACCAATATTATTATTCAGTTGAAGCGAACGGAAATAACCTGGCTAGATTCCTAAAGTGAACAGATCATCACAACAAAAGAGAAATAGTGTAAAGTAGTAGTTTGAACGAAACTAGTTTCGTAATGATATTTATACATTTGACTGACATGATGTAAATAAGAATAATAAGACTAAACTCATCAATGAGGTACAAATAAGTAAGCAATCTGATCATTTAATTTTTTATTTAAAGAACTTCATAAAGTATTTTGAAAAGATGAAATATCTAAAGGAACATTCCCAGAGTGAACATCAAATCTGAGATGCAGGTACATCCAGCTGACGAGTCCCAAATAGGATGAAACGCGCGTCAAACTGGATTCCATTGCTAGCCACTATTCATCTTTGCTTACCATGCTTGTGAATTTAGGCTATATCAAGGCAATACGCACAGTATACACAAATGCCAATTAGAGACTGACCAGTTGCAGTCCTAAGCATCAATGGGAAGATTCGAACAAACAATACTTAGTGAATTTAAAGGAACAGTTGTTTGGTAATAACTTCTTCACCGTTCCCTACAGTTATGAATCTATAATTATTGTATTACTATTATCCAAATATGTGAAAAATTGTATTTGAAATAGTCTCAGAGATTGAAATTTAAATAAATAATTCCAACGTTTCGTCCAGCTAACTTGTCTGGACTTTTTCAGGGTTATAATCAAAATAGAAATCATCCAAAAAATCTATAGTGTCAAGCCATTCGTTCTAACCTTGACGGATATTCGTACATAATATCAAAATAATTTACACATAAGTATATGACAATCATACAATGTTGCAGTTTAAACTAATGTTTCGGTTAAGGATGAAATAAGTTTAAACAAACGTGTTCTTTGTAAATTTAAAAAGATATTTAAGAAAAGATTAGGAAAGTTCGTTAAAAGTTGTCGAGTTATGACTAATATGTTAAGATAAACTACATGAATGTGATGAAGTTTTTCACCTAGTTTATCAAGATGATAATAAACATAGTGATAGTAATAATAATGTTATGGAAATCTGTTATGTAACAAGAGGAATATTTATAGGAACCTGACTGTCAGCAATAAATAAGGAGGTTTAAATTGCCCATGACTGCATGAAGTTTGTACAGGTGACGTTATTCAGAAAGAAAATGAAAGTCCTTATGGTAGGTTTCCTTATGTGATGTGTCAATATAACCCTCGCTATATCATCTTCAGAATTAGATATTAGATAATATGTTTCTCAACCCTTAGTGTCGTCTTTTATCATATATTTCCGTTCTAGCATTCATTTACCTAACCATATTTACTCTGGCCACTGTAATAGAATAATTATAGATTCATAACAATAAGGCCTGAGTTTACTGAAAACAATCCCAATAAACTCCTGTAACATTGAAAGATATGTCCTCACTAATGATGAATTTTAAAAAATGATTCTTGGAGTCGGAGTAAAAGGCTATAACTAGTGGAGTACAATAATATCGGATATAAAACAGTTGACTGCAGCACGTGATGAAAGATTGTTGCTCAGTGCCATGAAATGATTGAAATCAGACATATAAACCAGCAGGTGTTGACTCACTGATTTGAAAACTAACATCTCTTGGCGAAACCCGAAGGTTTTGACTTCGAGCACTGATTAGGTTGTGTATGAACGTTACCGATGAGTCCCATAATAGAAATAAAACAACCGCTCACTACTTTCTGATTCTCATTGATTGTCACACTAGTATCGGTCCGTATGTGAAATAAACTATGAAAATTTAGTTTTCTCCACAAAACCCTGTGTCAATACCTTCTAGATATATTTATTTCATCAGAACGATAATTGTTATTTTTAAGTAGAAAAAAACACACACACAGTTACACACTCACAACTTCATACATACCTTCATGTATACATACGCTAAATACATCTTAAAAAACAAATTCAATTCATAACAGTAATAGGTAGAATTGACTTGGAAAAAGACAAAATATGACAGGCAATATAGAAAAATAAACAAAGTAACATACCATAAATCTATTATATAAAGACAGATAAATGGGAAAATTTGTTACAACATCATCATCATCACCATCATCATTTTCTACCATTTTCCCACTTCATTACCTTACTTAAACAATATTTTCTTTATTCTTCATAACCAACAAAAACACACCAATTTCAATGAACGGTTATTATTTCTATTTAACCGTTACCATCAGTCTTATTATTATTAGAGAAACATTTTCATTACCCTTAACATAATTGTTACATTATATACATCTATATGTGTGTATATATACATAGATCATTGTACACATATGTGTGTAGCTTTTTTGTTAAGGAAGATAAGTACAAAATTATATGTCTAATCATTGAAAGAAAACAAACTTTTCAATGAATTAATTTTGTTGTATACCTGAGTTATTGATAAGAACAACTGTTTTCTAACTGTCACATCATCATGTAAATTTTTTAAAAATTTTTGCATAGTAGGCTTCTTCCTTTCGTTATCTGTATACCACACACACTCTTTCTTTTTCTCACACACACACACACACATATACACACTTTCTTGCACTCATTAGGGTCATTAAGTAAACAGCGAGGAGAAAAGCATAAATAGGCGAAAATTTAGTAAGATAGATGTTATTTGGTTTGTCTCCGGTTAACTCTCCTTTTTTAAACATATTATTCGTTGGTAAATATTATTTTTTCGGATGTCTTCAACAAAATAAATAGATTATGATGTTATAATAATCGGTTTCTTTAATTGGTTTCCTTATATATATATATAATATTCAGTATGTAATGTAAAAAAACATCAAACGTTCGTCTTATCTATTTCTTTTCCGTAGAAATATTTGTCATGTTGTTCCTAGTGGGTAAATTTTCATGTCTGTTTGATTAGATTGATAATTAGATATCTCATCTGCTAACAGCTGATTGATTACTGGATAACGATTATTGCCATGTTTACTTCATTCTTATTGCTGGTGAAAATCTTCCAATCTAGTTGCAATACGGTCATTAATTTTAGTAACTTGATAGTACGCGCACTATGTTGTACTGTTACTTAGTTGAAGGTAGTCGTCAGAACATTCTGGACGAGCTTGAATCCTACAAGGAGCATCAGTTCGTCCAAGATCTCAAGTAAAGCTGAATAGTACCAAAACTAGATCCGAAACTTCTCGTCATTTACTCTCAACCATCTAACAACTCAGCTTACTGTATACTGTGTAGACTCTCTCAGACTAGTTTCCAAACTGCAACATGATCGATAGAATTCAATCAGTGCAAAATAAATACAAAAAAAACATGACGTTGTTTAACACTCAGTGACAGATTATTTGATATCTTACTCTCTTTAATACATCGTTTATTCAATTAAGACAGTCATATTATGAGAATTAGATCAGAAAACTACAGGCCTCTTTGCGGAAAAAAATGTTTGCTCAAAGATTATACCAACAGTTTTAACTCTTGTTTAATAACGCGAATGTAAACTAACGTAACACCATGTTAACTAGCGAATCCATTGGAAAATTTCTTAATCTACTTTCCGCATGTTTTCTCGTTTTTTAAAAATAAACAATATACTTGATATGAAAGGGACTTAAAAGGACACTTAATCAAGTATAATCATCGATTTATTGGGTTATACTTTGATAAATATTAGTCTTATATGTTTTTCTTCCAACAAACTTTCAGGTATTACATAAATCACTGGTGCTTAAGAGCACAGAAAAAAGATATTCATACTTATTTGTCGACCGCATTAATCAAGAAGTGATAAGATACTCTCAAGACGATTTGGTTAAAAGAATCTGTCTCTTTTTTGCTTATCCTATAATTAGAATGCTTTGCATACACGGTGAACCATTGATTATGCTTACACTATAATGTTACCATAGGGCTGAAATTGGTTCTACCTCGTTTTATTTAATTAAGACTAATATTATTCAACCCTAACATTAAAACGGAATGACTAAAATTACTCGAAAGACATTGTTCTGTCCGATGAAGATTGATAAAATGCAGTCCTCCAATCACTTTAAGTAAAAAATCCAACCGTATTCGGAATGTGTTTCCCCTTTACTTATTGTTGAATATTGCTTCATGACTTGGCTATGTCAATACCAGAATCCATAGTAGGAAATGAGATACTCGAATATATCGATCATTTTATTTATCTTGATATTCTCGTCTTACATTGATGATTGTTATTTGAAGAAGTCTCAGGAGATATCAATAAAGCTCCCTTGGTTTTTGATACCTGATTTCACCCTCTTTAAAGGCCTTATATCCGTCTCATAACCAAAGGATGAGTGTACCTTTTAGTCGTTTTTTTTCTATACTTTATTAGAAGACTGATATATTTCATTCATGATCAGAAACTCTAAAAAGACATTGGTGAAAAAGAAAATAATCAATAAAGCTCACCTTCATCATTTCCAATGAATGATGTTTCTCTCGTTGGATCAGAACCAATCGTAATTGGGATTTGCATACAATGATCATGTTTACCTTCTCTATCACCTTGCATACGAAGTCGTAACTAAAAAGATAAATAATAATGGTTTAAAAGTTCATATAACTGACTGATCTTGGCTAAAGAGTGATTAGGAACCAAGTAGTAGTGGACAGCTGTTTTGTTCTAGTGTATAAATTCTCACCAGTGCTCAACCAAGAGGTTTAGGTACCCAGGCGAGAGCTTAACCTTTAAACCATTCAACAGGTATTCAAGGGTTTACATTTCTAACTCCAGTTAGTTACGATATTCACACTGATTCAGTATAACCTGTTCACTATTGTATCCAACAGAGATTGATCTCAGATTCAGTACAAGTAAAAACCAAGAAATATTAGATAACTGTTTGGTCCTAACATGTGAATCCTGAAAACTGCGTACCCACGATCACACCAGTAATTGAGCTCAGTATTTTCAAATCTAGTATCAATAGCTTAATTGTAAAGAACATTAGGCTAGCATATAATGTTACAGTTCCAACGTCAATTAGTCTACAATATCGTTTGATTGTCATCCAATTTAATTGACCATAACTGTTTAAATCCCAATATGTTTGAACCTAACCAATTACGAAGTCTCACTAAAACTTCAGGAATATCCTGAAGTAAGTTATTTATGAGCTTAATATTATTTTCAGTTGAATCCACCAGTCGATCTAAGCTAGACAACCGTGAAAAACCTAGAGGCACTGAACGGCCGTTTCGTCCTAGTATGAAACTCATCATCAGCGCACATCCACGATCGCGTACGCGGAATTCGAACTCAGGGTCTTCGGTATCACGCCTGAACATTTAATCTCTAGACTAATATTTATAAAAATATTTATCTACACACCATAAAGTATAGATAAAAATGATCAAATCTTTGTCCACTTCAAAACATTGAAATTAGTTAATAACTCTATGCCAGTTTATGAGCATAACACAAATGTAATCCACTAATATATGTAACTTATCGATAATGACTTCTAAGATAATGCAAATCATATGAAAGTTACTGAACACAACTTCCATTTCATTCATACTACATTTGTGGTGAATGTGAACACGAGTGGAGACAATCGAATGTGTTTAAGCATAAATTACAGACCATCTCACTGAAATCTGATAACCATACTGTAAACAGCTAATTTTCAAAATAACAATCCATCGTCACAATCTTAACTGTTCCTTCTGAAAATATCAATCCGTCTTCTCCGATTTCATCGTTCATGCATTTTCATACCGATCGTGCTACATTCATGTTCGTTCCTTATCGATCTTCTTCTATGCCTGACCTACACCATATACTACTTATGTGGATATAAGTAACCCATACCACATATTTACCATACGATAATAGTATAAACTTTTTTGTATTCAATATAAAAAAGCATACACAAAACTTACAATTAATGAATATTCTAAATAAATTAAATTTTGTCTACCAAATAATCCACTAGTTGGTAGTGGTGGTACATGTATTAAATCTGTAAAATATGCTTGACCACCTTGATCTGGTACAGCGATAATATTTGTTGACAAAGAATTCTTATATAATTTTTGTCGATGTTTATGTTTTGATTGTGATTTATTCTGTTTATTATTTTTATTATTTACACTGTTATGTCGATGTGTTTGTTGTTGTTGTTGTTGTTGTTGTTGTTGTTGCTGTTCAATACGTTCAAAACGATTTGTTGAACTTCTTGATGAAAATGAATTTGATGGAGAGAATACACTAGGAATTTTATTTATATCTAATTGTTCAAATAAATTATATCCAGACAATGTTGATTGAGCATTTAATCTTGTTGCAAAAATACGTAAAACTTCAATATGATTTTGTTCATTGATACCTTTCAAAAAGACTGTCTTGAATTAGATTTTTTTAAGATAGAGAGAAAACAAAGGGAAAATATAAGTTTAAAAACAGTTTTTTTTTCAAATATTTATATAAGTAAATTTCATTCAGTAATGAATAAATAACGGTTGATTTTTACAGGTCACATAACGAGTTGTGTTTCAACTAGACAACGAAAGAAAATCAAGAAGCAGAAGAAAGTCGTTTCGTTCAAGTAGTACCTGTCCACTACCATACCACTGAACCAGTCGTTTACATGTCAAACTTGAGTCGGTCATGCATACGCACTACGTAAAAGCTTTATACTAGGACCAAACAGCTGTTCAGTACTTCTTATTTTTCACTGTTCGTCTAACAATATTTAGTCCTTGATTTAAACTGATTTTCTGAGGATAGTTTTTTGAAAAATTCTAGTTTCTTTCAATCTATTTACTCAGTGAATAAGAAATCATATTAAAAAGACGTGAATACATCACGTATAACTTTGACATATTCATAACTTACTATATTTTTATTAACCAAAATTAAAATATTTAACCACTATTCACCCTTCACTTAACAATTCAGTACCGGTGTAAGATAAGAGGAGATTTATTGGCATGACAATCAATCATGACAGATGAATTAACTGTACAAATATATTCTGAACTCAAATGTCATTTATCAATTTTGAAATGAATTACTAGAAACAAAATTTCATATTGTTTTACATGACGAAATCTGTCATTAACTTAAGCTGATTTGACTCCATTGAAAAATAATTTTTTTCTCAATTTCCAAATTCATTAAATCAATATTGCCTTGTCAACTAAAAATTTGTGATAACACTTAGAGACACTTTAGAAAAACTCCTGTCTGTCAAATAACTAAATATATATGTAGAATATATTTAGTTGTCTTTCAATCAAAATGAATACTGAAGATATATGTTGGAAAAAGAAATAATTCTTATTTTTTTATCTAATAAATGTAATAAATGATTTTAAACACTAACGATCTGAAGTATTGAATATAAATTTACTATTGTTTGTTCGAATCTTCCCATCGATGTTTAGGACTGCAACTGGTCAGTCTCTTATTGGCATATGTGCATGTTGTGCGTATTGCCTTGATATAGACTAAATTCACAAACATTGTAAGTAAAGATGGATAGTGGCTAGCAGTGAAATCCAGGACTTGCGTTTCATCCTATTTGGGACTCGTCAACTAGATTTAGCTGCATCTCACAGTTGATGTTCACTCTGAGACTCGAACCCAGTACCTTTCGCTCCAAACACCATCGTGTTATCCACTCGGCCAGTGATTCCAGATAGCCACTTGCTTGTGCGATGGGATGAAGTTTAAATTCATTTACTATTGTTTGTTTGAATCTTCCCATCGATGTGTTAGGACTGCAACCGGTCAGTCTGAAGTATTCTCTTCTTGAAAAATTAATGACTTCGAATATTGAATAGTCAACTAGTGACTTTCATGTTTCTTTTTAAATAGTTTTCTTCATAAAACTAAATTAATTCAACTAAATTGTAAAGAAACTCCGATTGTTTGAATTCGCCACATCTATGTGTATTTACCAATTCAACTGCTCCTATGGAGCCAGTTATATAAAGCGTACAATTCGGCAAGTTCGTCAACGAATAACAGAAAACCATCCATGGTTGAGCAAAGAACAGTTAAAGGTGATTAAGAATTCTATTCTCGCTTACTTGGTGGACACAGGTCATCAAGTTGAACTGAATAAAGTTTTTAAGTTTATCTACCTTATTCCAACAAATTTGCCGCATGGTTTACGAGCTCGTCTTTTGCACATAGCTGAAGCCATCGCTATCCATATTCATAAACCGAACTTTTTTTATCCAAAAGAAGTTCGCACAACCACTCTCGCTATCTTGGTCATCGGTATACCGGAGTTTGTAGCACAACTTTGGTAAACAATTATCTTATTCCTCCCATTTTTGTATTTTACTTATTCTCTACATTCGTCTCTTGATTCTTACATAACTACTATATTACTGACCATTCCTCAAAATATTTTGTTAGTTCTTTCTTCTCTTTTACATATTATGCAACGTAGCAACAGCTTGATTTTTGAATAATAACTTTGGTTAGTATTAATCCTCTTTCTTCTAATTAATTAATGTTAGTTTATAGTCGATATGTCATCATATAATTATTAAGTAACGTATCCACTCGAAGAGTGTTATTTCATTATTGTAAATCATATCTATATTAGCGTAGAGCCAGGATGAAAAACGTTTTTTACTTTTTTTTACTTACTCCTGTTACTCCCAATGGAGCATAGGCCGCCGATCAGCTTCCTTCAACCCACTCTGTTCTGGGCCTTCTTTTCTAGTTCTATCCAACTTTTGTTCATTCTTCTCATGTCTGTTTCTATTTCTCGACGTACTATGTTCTTTGGTCATCCTCTTCTCGTTTGACCTTCAGGATTCCATGTCAGGGCTTGCCTTGTGACGCAACTGGATGATTTCCTCAATGTGTGTCCTATCCACTCCCATCGCTTCTTCCTGATTTCTTCCTCCACTGGATTGAATCTGGTTTGTTCTCTCCCACAGTAGAATGTTGCTGATAGTGTCTGACCAACGGATCCTAAGTATTTTGCTTAGACAATTGTTGATAAACACCTGTGTCTTCTGGATGATGGCTTTCTTATTTCTCCCAGTTTCCGCCCCATCCAGTACAACTGTCTTGACATTTGTATTGAAAATTCTGATCTTGTTGTTGGTCGACAATTGTTTTGAGTTCCAGATGTTCCTCAGTTGTAAATATGCTGCTCTTGCTTTGCCGATCCTCGCCCTCACATCTGCATCTGATCCACCGTGTTCATCAATGATGCTGCCCAGATATGTACAGGTTTCCATATTCTCCAAAGCTTCCCCGTCAAGTGTAATCTGATTGGTGCATGTTGGCTTCCGCCCGTAGCTCCTCCGGGGGCTACTGCCGGTCTCAAGCCCGGGTAAAGGAGGAGGGTTAGTTATGGGGTTAGCGACCCCATTCCGTAGAAAACCAATTCGCTTAAAAAACGCTAACCAGAAAACATTATTCAAACCATGATGAAAAAACTAATTGAAAAAAAATTTCTTCGCTCGATTCGTTCCTTTTTATTTATCGAATTGAGAAGTGTATTATTAGTAATAGTAACTAAAAATATTATTGTGAAAGGAATTTGATTCTATGGTTAATAAAAAAGGATGGCTGTTTCTATGAATTAAATGTTTAAAACACGTTGTTGTTAAGAGACACTGAAGTCAGTGTGTTTGGAGGCTGTTGATGTTCAGAAAGAGACCTGGATTTCAGTATCGTTCTAGTTGGTATTCGTTAACGGTGATTATGTGTTCATCAATGTGTTGAATAATTTGTATAAGAATTTTACAACATGAGAAATACAGTGAAATTGATATCTTGTTAAAAATGATCAACTCAGTAGACATTATTGTGCAACCAAAATGACACGGAAAATACTTGGGATAATGAATAGCAATATAAATCAAATAGAATAAAGTATCATTTCTTCAAATGAAACGTAATTAAACTAACCTGTGCAAATGTTAAATGTACAGTTTGTATAGCACGACCAGATCGATTAGTAATATGAACTTGTGGAATAATTGTTTCCCCAGGAACAAATCCAGTTTTATTCACTGCTAAATCGCATAGAATTAATCCACTTGGATGTGAACAACAGCCTAAGGATACAAACTCTCGATGTAATGTTATTCTATCCTAAAAAGTAAAAGTATGATTTTAAAAGAAACAACTGAATGTTTTGATATATATATATATATATATATATATATATATATAGGGCTAAATATGATTCTACTGTCTTTTGCTAGCTAAAATGACATCGATAATAATCTACCAATAGTATAATGACATGTTAATTGAGTAAAGGTAGTTAGCAGAAAACACTGAATCTGAATTTTGTTCTAGTTGGTACTTGTTGTCAATCTTAAGAGAAACATTCCTATTATAGAACTGGGAACTCTGTCATTCAACTTCACAGTCTGAAATGTTACACCTGTCAGACTACGTAGATGATTGATGCTGGCTGAAATCTCGAAAAGAGCATTGATTAACTCAGGAATATAGTTGTGTTTTTTGACGAATGATCAACAATATGAAGCTCAGGTTAAGCAGGGTTTCCTCTTGACTACCTTCCGCCACCTAAAATCTTGGCATAATGTATGCTATGTTAAGTCACCTAGACTAGCGACCACACTTTAACTTGATCTATAGAGTTCGATCAATATTTAAGGACATTACATTCTTCCCAACGCAGTGATAAATCATTTTGTAGTAATGATATAAACTTCTGTCCTAAGCTTCTGGGGATGAAAAAATCTAAATATTTTATCTTACAACTAATTAACCATTTGTATTTAGTCAAATTACATCATTTACTTGTTAAATATTACTGAGTATCATGGTAAATGATGAAATTAAAGAATGGTGATTGACTCGTTGATTAATTAATAAATCTTAATTTCCGTTGGACGTGACTTTTTGAAATAAAAACTGGACAGTAGTCCAATAAATTCAGAAAGCTTGATGAAGACGGAATCAGTTGTGAGATTGGCGAAATAAAACAAGCCATGGGTAAATTAAAAATTTCCAAATAAGTTATGCTAATTGGTACTATAATAACATTATAAACATTAACCAATTTTCCCTTAAGTAAAACAGTAGTCAAGCTAGGTTTTATAATTTAATACAATTTATAGTCCTACCTAAAAGAATTTAAACTTCTTGATCATGAAAATAGGAACTTGTACAATTGTTGTGATTTAGTTATTTTCAGCTAATCTTCAAATTAGCTATAAATACGTAATATCAGATATTTGCTAAGTTCCAGCTACTAACTAATATTATTCCTTACAATTATTGAAGTGTTCCTAAAGGAAAATAAAATGTGTTCACTGAATGTAATACATATATGTTGTGACCAATTATTAAGTGTTAATTTCTTTGGATACAGAGTATATCGAACTGTAATCAAACTTATAGAAAAATCGAATAGAAACTCTCATTTACTTTTCCATAAATATTTTATCCTTCTTTTGAAAGATATATATGACATATTGCTAATGTTGATGGACTAATTTCTATAATATACTTCTCACTTAAATCTTATACTGTAGTGAACAAGAACACGACTGGGGACAATCGAATGTATTTAGACACAAATTACAGACTATCTCACTAAATTCTGATAACCATACAATGAAAAGTCAATTTGCAAAATAACCATCACTTGTCTCAATCTTCACTGTTCCTTCTGTAAATATTAATTCATCTTCTCTAATTTCATTGTTTGTGCATGTTCCTATCAATTGCGCTTCATTTCAGTTTTTTCCTTATTGGTCGCCTGCCAAAATACATTCTGCGTTTAACCATCACCATATACTACTTATTTGGATATAAGTAAACACAATATAATACAACCGGTTTCTAAATCATTTTATATTCTAGTTGTTGGCACTAGTTGATTTTTAAAAAAAATTTAATATACTTTACAGACAAACAATATTTTACGTAACTCTATTAAACATACGGTTAAATGGAATAAGAAGAGAAATATAATTGATACACTGGAATAAGAATTATATTGCGTGGGTGAGAATAACATAATTAATTAATTTGAGAGGGGAAGTGTAAATTTAATTTAGAAATCTTAATCGAAATTCAAATGAATTTCTAGATATTTGGTACTAAAGAATAAAGATATTAAGTAAAATTGACAAATTAGTTACTGAGGTTATTTGTCTGAGATGAATTGGATATGTAATATATATATCGTTCAAATTTGATGTCCGCCTAATTATTTAATACTAACTAACTAATGTCATAGATCTATGCAGTTAGTAACTGTCAGCTTGAACTATTTTTTAAAATTCAAATTATCTGATAGACAATTTTGATCAATTATTAACGAACTTCAGATCTTCGGTTTTAAAATCTTTTTTTTAATCAGTAATTGGATTACTTCTTTCGAAAACCATATATAAAACTTTATTAGACTACTCCTACTCTGCTAACATCTTTTGTTGATTTCCTGTTGCAATCTTGTACATTTGTGAGAAGTATCATTTATTTTATTATTATTTGAACACATAAATATTGGAACAAAGGGGCACCAGATGTATATGCACCACACAAATCTCATTTGATTTGCATGAGGGCTGTGATACTGACAAGGTGCCCAAAACCGTAACTGGTGGTTTTCTTAAAGGGCCACACACCGAGCCTTTGACCTGAAGATCTGATCCACAAGGCAATGGAGCAACATCAGGTGATGAAGTCTCATAATCACCGGTGACCAACGATTGATTCATACGCCATTTGTTGCCTAAGGATCCTGGAACCCGTGTGTACCATTTGTTTAGAATCAGTGTTTTCCAACTCCCCTAGGTGAACTTTCCGTGTCCACCAACCCTGTTAACACTCCAGACATTTGCTTTTCGTCCTCTTAATTTCGTAAACAACAGTAATGTCACGAGAAGCCAGTGAATAGAACTTTCCTAGCAGAGGATAGTTACGCGTGGCCGTATGAGATCATTTCCAGAAGAAGAGCAGACTCTCTCCACTCTTGGCTGTACCAGGGCCTTTGGGGGCTTGTGAAGTATTACATTACTCAGGATAGTTATTATTCTTTAGTTAAATTATAATTATTCAAGGAAGATTGATATTTTCTTATAAATAATCAGATGATAAATACTAATTGATTTCTTAACAGAATTTAATTATAATGTAAGATGATTCTGTCATATAAACAATAACAACAACAAAAAACAAACAATCCCTTATTTTTAAAAAAAAAATATCATTACTGAAATGATAAAAAAATGTTACTTTTTTTGTCAATCAATAATGATTGACATAATCAAAGTAGACTTTCCCTATTTCGATAATTCTAATTTTTTTTGTTCGTCCAACAATACAGACAACATATTTTTCTCATTAGTAGATTCTATATACAAATATACACTATTATTTTTGTAAACAAATCACTAAAAAAACTAGGATACAATAGAAATCTATCACAAATTTAACTAGGGGGATCAAGTTTAATTGTTTGATATTTATTTAAATAATTATGTTATCAATAATTTAATAATTTAAATTAATTATAAGCAAAGATGGATAGTGGCTAGCGATGGAATCCAGGACGTGCGTTTCGTCCTATTTGGAACTCGTCAGTTCGATATACCTGCATCTGAGAGTTGATGTTCACTTTGGGATTCGAACCCAGTAACTTTCGCTTCAAACGCCATCGCATTATCCACTTGGCCAGTGAGTCCTGATAGCCACTTGCTTGTGCAATGTGGTGAAGTTTAAATTCACTTAGTATTGTTTGTGTGAATCCTAAACATCAATGGAAAGATTCAAACAAACAATACTAAGTAAATTTAAACTTATTAGGTTTATTAATAATAAATAGATTAATCATAATAAAGATCTATTATGTCAAATAAAGAATACAAAATAAACAATCAATTTATCTTCATTAATACAAGTCATAAATCATAAGACTTTGAAAACAGTTTTTTTTAAGAAAAATGTTTTCTTAAAACCCAATTGTTCTTTCCTCTTTTTTTGTGACAAAAACAAGAGTTGTTTCTTGGTCTGTAATCATGTTAAATGAAGACATCAATGTACATTGAACATAAATGCATCCAAATATGTATATGTATAATCCGGCATAATTGAACATAATTTAATTATGATGAATTATTGAAGTGTCAGAATAAAAATTGTCAGCCCATTGTATATTATACATTGAAATATTATATATTATGATTATTGTATTATGTACAGTTGAATTTTTTAATACAAATTTAAACAATAAAAGAACGGGACCATGGATGCGCATTGCTGAGGAGTTCCACAATGGGACGAAACGGCCGTCCAGTGCTTTCAGGTTTTCCACGATTGTCTAGCGTCCATTGACTCATGATTTCAACTATATGTATAAAATGAAAGAACTATTGTAGTGTTGGTTGATATGTTAAGCCCATATACCTTTATTCTAGTATCTGGACAAGCCAATTTACCTATCCATCATAAGTCATATTTTGACCTTTTTAATTATTCACTTATCAACCCTGACTGTTTTTTTTATATGAGCTTATATGTGTGTACATTTTTTTCCTATTCATCACATGTTTATAACTTATTTTTTATCTGACTATAAATATTGATTAACTCTTGGGTAAAGTGAGTTAGCTAACCCGCCATCTCCAATGCATGTCACTTCGCTTGCTGATATTTGCTCATGTGCTTATGACTTTCTGGCCTGCGTTATTTGATAATAAACTGTAGCTGCCGCTTCCCTTTGCATTCTGATTTTAAGAGTTATATTATAACGGTTATCGATGTATATGATTAACGAAACACAGCACTACACTATAACATTTACAGAATACAAATGAATACGTTACATTCTGTTTATTATGTTTTAACTACATAAATGATAACAAATCTAAATCGCTTAATCTATATATCACCATCATTGAAAACTAAAAGAATCACTAGTCTGTCATTGTAGAGTAAAAGTTTCTTTGGAAAATAAGAGTTTGTAATAAAACTAAAATTGAATTTCTCTTAGAATTTTCCTTACAAATAGATGGATTTAAAGTTCTATATTATTTATCAAAGAATTATTAAAACCTACTGAATTATGATCACAATTAAATGAAAGATATAAATAAAGTTGTTTTATT